TACTTTTAGATGTAGGATCTAAGATCAAATAGTGAGTGGCTCTTTTGATCAAAATTGAATAGCTGGATGGTGAGGCAAGCATAGATCTTCTTTGCTGGAGGGGAAGTAGAGAAACCTTTCCCTTTCCCTTTCCCTTTCATTTCTTGAGACATGGAAGGAGATATTTTGTGCTTGAAAATGGTTGAAGATGATAAGATTTGGCTTTTGTTTTGTGTTCTCTTCGTAGTAAACACTCAAATTAGAGCACGTACCCGGGTAGTCCCACGAGATCACATTGCATATTTACTCCCTCAAGTAAAAGACCTAATTTGATGGGTTTCATTGATTTACAATTTTTATTTTAAGACAATGGATTAGTATTTTGAATCGCTTTTTGTTGACTTGGCCGAGTCCACTCGGACTCGACCTAGTAACTTGGAGTGGATTTGGTTGAGTACCTCACCCTCCTCCGAATAGCAATGCAAGTTGAGTAGGAGTTGGGTGCCCAACTAGACCCCCACAAAAATGCCCTAAAAAAATATGAAAATATTAAAAATCCAAAAGAAATTGAAATGACCAATATATTGTTTAGAAATAATGTTTTAGATGATTTTGGCAATTTTTAGGATGATTCGTGATTTTCATATATTTTTTAAAAAAATCTTAAATTTTCAACGTATAACTCAATTTTTTGATAGCCCATTTTTATCTTTTTATTTTTCTTTAACATACTAACGATTTTTATTTACCCTAAATACTTTTTAAAAATTTTAAATATTTTTTAGAATTTTTTGAATTTTTTTTAATTGTTTCCACATTCTAAGGGCACCAAGGGCCGAGTACCTTGGCCAAGACAAGTCACGAAACCTTATTTTAAGGCCCTGTTTGGTTCTCTGGAAATGAGAGTCCTGAGGAAATGAGTATCCTGGAATTAATATATCCCATAATTGACATTTTTTGGAAAATGGGTATATGTTGTTTTGATAGCATTTGGCATAGACGTGGAAGATGCATCTTCTATCTTTAAAAAATTCAAAAATTTTCATTGCATTATAAAAATAAATCATTCTCAATGTTGTGATTATTGTACTTAAAAATCGTTTATGTCTTTCAAAATCGCCAAGTTTTTCTGGTATCTAACAACAACCAAAATTTGAAGCCAAAATCGAAGATTTTCTTTCAACAAGTTCAAATATAGTGTCCATACTTGCAAGGGTGAGATTCCTTCCCTCCAACATTACATTTCACGGCACACGTGCATTCAAACATTAATATAATAATAATAATAATAATAATACAATATTATTTTATTTTATTTGTATTAATAATATATTTTAGTATTAATATATTATAAGAATATTACTATAACATTTATACTAATTTTATATTATTATGATAATATAATATCTTTTATAGCTATTAATATAATAGTGTAATGTTAAAAATGTCTTAATAAAATATAAATAATTCGCTTGTAAAATAATATAATATTAATATATTAAGATAATAACATAATATTATAATAAAAATATATTTAAATGATAATTATTTCAATAATAAATATTTTAAATAATAATAACAACATTAACAATAGTAGTAATAATATTAACATCAATACTAAGAATAATAAACATTGGGGTATGTGTGTTTAACTTTTGATTTCCAGAAAATATCAATTCCATCTATTTTTGTGGAATTGATAGTTTCTGAAATGTAGTTTAAATTGAAGATACATGAGTCACCACGAAAATGTCAATCCCATCTTCAAAAGGAACCAAACAGGTCAGCCATTTCCATGGAAATGTAACTCCTGGATTCAGATTTCTAGGCCATTCGAAAAGCCAAATAAAGTTAAAATTTCTAATTTTTGCAGAAAATGCAGCAGGATCTACTTCCTATGATCGTTTTGCCACAACAGAGGCAAGTATTTTTCCACCATAACCTCACATGTGTGACTGATTTGACTGCTTTTCCAGTGTTTTTCTTCTCATTTTCTTATTTTCAAATTCCTTATTGTGCTTATATCTTTTGCCTTTATTTGTTCAATTTTTTGCAGTGTTTTAAGGAGCCCAAAGCCCCTCTATATGGGGGAGGGATTATAGTTAACCCAAGCATTGACCATGGTTTGAAAGCATCGTCAGTATTTGGGGATGCCAAGGTAGAAAAAAGATCCATCAATGGCAACCAGTTTATAGTGGCTCCAAATAGATTACGCCCACATGATAGTGCCTCTCAAGGGTTCAATTTAGAGAGAGGAAAGCTCTACGCCTTATCAGGTACAAATTATAATTCATCATCATTATCATTTGAGCTTTATTCCAATCATTTATGGTTGACTAAAGGTCATACATTCAATTAAACATAACATACAATTAGGATTGATAAAAAAAATCTGACAAAATTTTATGATGATTGTGTACCTAACACAACCATCCTCCTTTATCGGGTCTGGGACTTGCATGGGCGCAGGTAGGTAACAAATCCTTACTGCATGAACTTGTATGCTCACATAAAGGGGAAAATATTGTAGTTCATATGACCTTAGAAGATACGTGGTCATGAGGGTCATCAAGTCTCTCTCACCCATTGTGTGATGGTACTCTATCAATTCCATTTGTTTATTGAATAGACTGAGATAATCCCTATCCATGGTGATGAGGATTATAGGATAATTTTGCTGCATATAAATATGCACATTCATAGTATCAATTTGCAACTAAATATACTCACCCAAAAAAAAAAAAAAAATTCCTACTAGATCCCCGTCGGTGGGAACGACACAAGTACCTATGGAAAAGATTAGGTGGTCCTGTAAGACCAAATTGTTCATTCTAGTCAAAGGCATAAGGGGATTTGATGGGAACAAAACTCTATGGTTGCGTTTCTAATGTTAGCAGCTTCTTTTTTTTCTAACAAGAAAAGGATGGTTTGAATTTTGGAACTCAAAAAGTGAACGAAGGAAAATTTGCTCCAAGACTAAATTTTGGCCCTCAATTTTGATGGATATTAGATATATGGAATTTGAAGCTCAAAGCTTCTTTTCTTTCTTTCTTTCTTCTTTCTTTTTTCTTTTTTTCTTTTTTTTTTTGTTTTTTTGAATTGTTTTGGATTTTTTCATATGACCCATGAAAAAAGGGTCACAAAAATGCCCCAAACGTGGCAGACATGCTGCATGACCAAATGTAAGTTCCCACATGACCACTAAATAAGCTCCAAACCTATACATGCATAGATGGATATAACAAATATCGGCATGCTTCAGATATGTCATGCACACAATCGTCAAAAGGAAAAGTATCCCATGCACGAGGTGGAAGGGCGCACAAGCATTCTTATTTATATAGGGTTGAAACCTTTTTAAGAAGAGAAAAGTTTATATAGAACCGAGCCTCTAAACAATCAAATTAGAGTCTATCTCAAAAATTTCACTAGAAGAGGTTGTTTTGATGTAAAATATCATCAATTGATCATCTCGACATCAAGATCCATAGATATAAGAAAAAAATAGATTTCAAGTTTTGGAAATAGTATATTTTGTAAACCATTTTTGGACCGTCAATTTTTAAGATTTTCAAGTTTTCATAGATCTATCGT